AAGGGAGGGAGGGAGGTGAGAGGGGGCAAGGTGAATATTTTTGGGGGGGTTGGGGGGGTGGTTGTGGTCAGCAGTTCGGAAGAGAGTGCTCATTTGATCAGTTAATTTTGTCTGCCTTGTCCTGTGTATTTGATTTAGAATTGCCTTCTTTTGAAGTTTTAACTTAATGTCCTCTTTTTCTCCTGAACACAAATACACCCAAACTCGCAAACACACATGCACCTGCACACAAACACACACACACACAAAAGCTCACATTCAGAGCCCTGTTTGGTGTCACTGCAATTTAAATTAGTTGTTACAGGTATGTTTAAAAGGACCGTCTTTCCGGATGATCTATTATAATAAATGTTATACTTGATGAATCGAACCATCGTACTGAAAATAGTATTTTCTCAGTGAAAAACTTGAAAGAAAAGGGAGGTCAAATCACCTAATTCATTCTTTCTTAGATCAACTCACTTGAGCTTATTCCTTTGTCACTGGACGCGATGCCGCCCCGGTGGCTGAATCCCGTGTATTTACAGGATGTGCTTTATCAGTCGATATTTCCTGTGTTTTTTGGCTACAAGCTGCAAGAAGCGGCGACCTATGGTCAACAGTTGATCCACCTGTTTCATTTCGTTAAAAAGTGTTGGTGAAGTTATGTGTGATGCTTTTTTAGCTGTAACAGACTAAGTCAGTCGGCCCCGCATTGTCCCAGATGATTTTATTACAAATTGGGGGCCAAAAAAATTGCGTAACCCCCAGACTTGAGGTTTCAAAATATTGATAAAATAAAAACTATTCCTGCAAATTAGATTCAGTTTTCTTTTGCTGTCAGAGCATTTCTTTCTTTCTTTTTTTGTTGCCTTAAAAAATTGTTGATAGCTTTCACATTCTTTTTGTGGATAATGATTCAATATATATCCCAAAAGTATCAGGCTGCAGTGGTTGTTGGGTGATAAATTGCTCAGGATCAAGTGAGTCAGAACACAGTGCATTGTCTTTGTGTTGCAACCTGTGTTTGTAAAGCCTTCAGAGTACCAGAGCCTGTGTTCTTTTATTAATCAGGGCAGAGCACTATTTATAAATGTCATTTATTAAATGTATATATATATATATATATATATATATATATATATATATATATATATATATATATATGTATGTATATATGTCTAACATGCAAACAGCGAAATTGGTGGGACTCGGAAATCTTTTCTTTGTGTACACATTTCGCTATGTGAGCATTGTAAATTCAAAGAATGCATAATACATCATGTAGGCCTATAAAAAAAATTTATTTTATCAACCTGTAACATGTAGAATTGTGCAGTACACTGCCGTTAACTGACAAAATGCCTTTTTTCATTTTGGCGCCAACATTTTTTATTCGCCTAATCCAAAGCCTGATCGGTTACCCTACTTGTATGGAAAAATCTATTTGAAACTGTGACTAGTTTTTAAATGAATTAGAAATAAAATTTCGGAATGACTCGATACTTTTGTTACGCTGACAAAAAGATGCTCTTTTTCTCGAAACTGTTCTGAAGAAGAAAAGGCGTTTTGTCAGCTTACAGCAGTACAGCCAATTGAGAAATTCTTCTCCTCCCCAGATGACGAAGATTTTGGCGCAAACAATCCCGTGGACTTGAAGTATGACCCTGGCCTCACCCTGTCCTCCAGCCAATGGGATAGAGTGACTATCTCCGAGTCGGGCGTTGAATTTACCGTGAGGTGTCTCTCCTTGTTTGTAAAACAGGACTCTGAATGTCTGAGTCCGAGCTATGCCCCGCCCTCTTGCCCGTGTGCTTTCAATCTGAATGTCTCTTTCGAAGAAGGACAAGAACTGAACTTGTATCTCCTTGTGAAACTGGGGGAGGAATTGGACCACTCAGCGCGTTGGCCGATTTCTATCAGCAGCAAAGGGTATATTAAGAATAAGTCTAGCAAGGGTTTTTCTCAGATCTGGGACCTGCCAAATGAGAAGGGGAAAAAGTTGAGGAAGTTGAAGTCCACTCAAGAGGTGAAAATCCCTCTTCCTCTTGTTTTGAAAACGGGAACGGGGTTATTCAACCCAGTAGACGTTGATCTGCTAGATGCCCGGAATTATATCATTGACGACACGATTACTTTTAAATGGAGTGTGGATGTATTAGAGGCTGGCTCTGGAAATTTGCTGACGTAGACCCCATGCCATGCAGACATCACTTTGCACTGCTGCCTCTTGACACTGACAGCAGTCAGTCACTTCTGACGCCAACTGTCACTGCACTGACAATGAACGATGCTGATATCTGTCAATCATCAGCTCTGTCACTGGACGTGTAACAAGTTCCCTATTCTTTGATGTTGATTTATAATGATCTGGCTACATCATTCCGCGACCTCAGAGGGGTCTTGTCGTATCTCCATTTTTTTAAACAGTGAAAATGTGACTTCTTCTTAAGCTTACTTTTTGTTATGAATTGTTTTCACAGTTATTAAAAATAAAAAGGGAGATGTGACAAGAAAGCACTGAGGTCGCGATTCTATGCAGAGTTCCCTCAAGACTGCTGACTTTGAACTCCGTTTCACAGTCTGCTCTTGAAATCCCCCAGCCCATCTCTCCCGCCCCTTCCCCTCCCCAGCAAACCAGCTGGCACCCAGATGAGCACAGTGATGTAAAGTTATTAGTTCTTTGACTGTGATATGTGTACGGTATGTTCATGTGAGTTTTGATTCTATTGACAACTTTTGAATTCCATTCCATGTTTTTTGTTCTATGTGTCATGACACGGTAGAATCAGACGCTCGTCAATTTTTGGCCATGTGGAGTTATTGGTATCACCCTAAATCTCGTTCATTTGTTTTGCTTTCGATGAAAGAAATAAGCCATTTATCTTGAATGCAAGTCGAGATTTTTTTTGCAATTGAAGGAGGAGAGGTCGTCTAGTTTCCATTATAGCCTGAGAATCCGTGGAAACTGACAATTTTCTTTTTTGTGCCTTTAATAAACCTTTTAGTAAAATCCATACAGAAATGGTCACTTATGGTGTTCTTAGAATACTTAAACTTAAATGAAAATGAAAGGTGTGGGCACCCCCCCCCAAAAAAAAAAATAATAAAAAAAAATAAAAAAATAAAAACTGCCAAACCAGTGGAAAATGCCAGTTTCTTTAAATTCATTATTTTGACGAGCACCTGATTTCATCACGGTGCCTCACATACATTATCTTAGCTGCTCTGTTAGCAATGCTGAAATAAAAAAATTCTCCCCTGCTATAGACATTAGTCGTTTCCATCTAATATCATCAGCCCCATTTTACAAGTGCCAAAGTCATTGTGTAAAATTGGGGAGCAAATGAAAGAAAAAGAGGTCGCCCATTTCAGAACCATGAACAGAGCACCATCTTGTGATTTCTTAATAAAAAAACAGGAAATGTATTATGTGTGTCACGTTGGGATGGAATCAGGCGCTTGTCAAAATAATGAAATCCAAGAAATCAACATTTTTTCGGTCGTTGGTAGATTTTTATCGATTTGTTTTGTTTGAGGCTCCACATATTTTACGTCCATTTCAATACATATATATATCAGTGTGGATTTGACTGACAAATGATGATGAAAAGGCACAAAAAATGTAGATTTGCACTTTTCGAGGACACTACAGCTTCCAAAGTCTCCGAACTTTTGCAGGCATTCGCTCTCTAATTTTACTTCAGACTCCAGGCAACCGTCACCTCCTTCAGTCACAGATATCTTGACTTCTATTCATGATCTCTCTCTTGCCCTTTTACACTCCCAATGGAGCATAGGCCATCGACAACATTTCTCTACCGAAGCCTGTCCTGTGCGTCCTTTTCTAGCTGTTTCCATGATGCCCCTGCCTTTTCCATTTCAGCTTGTACTACTCGCCTCCTTGTCATCTTTGGTCTTCCTTTTTTACGTTTTCCTTGTGAATTCCACGTCAAAGCCTGGCTATTCCTGATAGATGGGTATTTTTTTTCATCAAAAGCAAGGCGAATAAAGAGGCTATAAGATGAAGTCAATAAATCCTTAGATAATAATTATGTCCAAAATTTGACGAGGGCCCGATTCCACTGAGTCCTGACATATTGAGTTAAATGAAACAAAACTATTTTGTAAGATGCCATTTGGTGTCTTTCTTTGTATAACGGCTTTTTCTGGAAACCCTTAGAAACTGATTTGGATATTTGTGAATGTTATGCTTAACATGCTCGTTACGGTCTCAAATTTATGCAAGCTCAGTGCCATCGGTATTGTCTTTATTCGGGTCAGCAAAATTTATTATTTTACGTGTATCCTACAAAATGTCTAACATTACATGTACTAACATACGCTTTTATTATTTCACGCATGATTAAAAAGACCACAAAATAATTTATCGTTACGACGCCTGGTCTTACAGTACTAACAAACATATGTTTATATTATTTTGAGTAACGGTGTGTTAAAAAAAAGAGATAAAGCTTATTGTTTTGATACATTGTCTAGCAATACAAACATATTATCATGTTTTTGTTCTCATTTATGGACAACTTTAAAGCTGAATATTTGGGCAAAGAATTTTAAAAAAGAAATAAAAATGAAAGAACAAGCTAAAATGATATGCGATGAACGAAGTCGCCATGTAAAAAGCAGACTTTTTGTTGTTACACAGATACAAGATTTGTATATATCTTTATTCTATGATTTCTTTCTTTGGTTTGCGTTAGCATTGCTGTGTGAAATAAATCTAATGTCTTGACTAATGCTTTGTGTCAAATAATTATAACAGTCTTTTTTTGTCCCCCCCCCCCCTCTCCACCAGGGCAGTGCTTCTGACTGGAGTGTCTTTATGCCATTCCCAAAGGGGGGATATTTACAATTTTTTATGCACAGTAGAATTGTAAACGGGCTGATTTATCAATGTCATGCTCATATTGTGCAGGAACAATATAACAAGGGGAACTGCTGCTTTTTCTATCCTCATCTTTACTGTCATCATTTTTTTCCTCTACATCTTTTGTACGTTTATCACTCCCTTGAGAACTACTATTTCCGGTTTGTGCTGTTGAGGCGAGAGAGGTGAGCAGAGTAAGCCTGGTTCCCCGTTTGGACTGCTCTGTTGACATCTACCCCTTGGCGCTCGTCAAAATAATGAAAGTAAAGAAACTGGCATTTTTCCGCAGGTTTGGGGAATTTAATTGAATTTTTGTGTTTTGGCTCAACACCTTCCACGCCCATTTTTGGATTTTACTGGAGAAACGTTGATTGAAGGCATAAAAGATGTAAATTATAAGTTTCCACGTACACTCAGACTAAGGAAATAACTAAACTTTGGCGGCCATTTTCTCGCTAATTTTACCTATTATGAAACGGGACAACCCCCTCCTTCTTTAATCACAAATTAATATCTCGACGTGTATCCAAGATAATTGGATATCTTTTTCATCGAAAGCAAGGCAAATGGACAGTACAGGCTTTAACTACTTTAAGATTATAATATCAATAACTCCATATTATGCCCAAAAATGGACGAGCACCTGATTCCGCCACGCCGTGACTCATAGGTGAGGCATCGTGGTGAAATCAGGCACTCGTCAAAATAATGAAATCGAACAAATCTGCAATTTTCGGCCAGTATGGACATTTTTCAGAATTTTTCTTTTTTGTCTCAGCACCACGTGTGTCCATGCACGACAAGGTGAATTTTCAGTTTCCAAGGACGCTAGAGCTATGGAAGTCACCGAACTTTGGCCGCCATTTTCTCGCTAATTTTTACTTCTGAAACCAGGCGACGTCACCTCCTTTAATCGCAAATATCCAGACTTTTATTCAAGATAAGTGACTATTTTTTTCATCAAATACAAGGCAAAAGAACAGCCTTTGATCTGATACAAGAACTCCATATACCCAAAAATTGACAAGTGCCTGTTTCCAACACGTTGTGACACATAGAATTAAGGTACGAGTAAGAGTAAGAATAAGAATAAGAGTAAGAATAAGAGTAAGAATAAGAGTAAGAATAAGAGTAAGAATAAGAGTACTAAGAGTTCGACATTATAAGTTTTATTAATCCTGCTTCGGAAGAAAACTTGTGGTGCAGCCGCTCGCACCAGTGTACATGACACAAAATGAACACAGCTCATCCTCATCCTCATTATTATCCTCATTATTATCTTCATCCTCATCATTATTATCTTCGTCATCATCCTCATCATTATTATCTTCGTCATCATCCTCATCATTATCATCATCCTCATCATTATCATCATCCTCATCATTATTTTTATCATGATCATCATCCTCATCATTATCATCATCCTCATTATCCTCATCATTATCCTCATCATCATCCTCATCATCACCACCCCCATCATCATCATCATCATCACCTCCATGCCTCTGTCTCTCTCACTTTCGCTCCCCCTATCTGCATTGCCCCCCCCCCTCCATATCACAATATGTGATCATTTCCCAGGTGCTGGTAGATCTAGCTGCGATGACTTTTGAGACATAAATTACTGCGGAACATCTAGATAACAACGATCCTCGCACACGGAATGGTACCACTCAAACAGAAGGAGAGCACCTGTGGGTGGTCGGCGGGTGCTCTGGTGGGGTCTGCTTCTTCTTTCCTATCAAACATCTATCGTCTTTATCTTCCCTCCTTCTTTTTTTGTTTTTGTTACTGTCTTGTAACACCTCTCATATTCGGCACTTATATGACTTTATTGTGTTGAAAGTGCCTTAAAACACTTACTAAAACTTAAGGAGAACTCCTGAGAACCAGCCAAACAAGTAGAGGCTAGATAACCTAGGCAATCGAGAAAACGGTAGAAAGAAAAATCTTACATAATGTTATTCTTCATAGTCTGGGTTTGTAAAAAGAAACATAAAAAAAACAAACGAAACAAAACAAAACTAATCAAATGATATGAACAAATAAAAAACGCGCTCTCTCTTTCTCTCTCTCTCTCTCTCTCTCTCTCTCTCTCTCACACACACACACACACACACACACACACACACACACACACACTCATGAACACACGACAGAACGTTTATCAAATAAGACTAAGAAACATCAAACAGTCCCAGCGTTCTAAAAAACGAAACATCTTCCCTTAAAAAGAACGGCACTCATAAAACATCGAAACAATCTAATTCACAAGTCATGTTCATTGTTTTAACAGTTGCTGTTCTCGCTTTCTTTGTTTGTGTTTTGGGGGGTTTTCATTCCGCGTTTTCTTTTTAATCATTTTTTAAACATTTATTTAGCTTCGCAGTGTGTTTTTCTCGTTTCAATTACGCTTTAAAAAACACTCCCGAGAGTTTAGCACATGCTATTTAGAAGGCTTCAGTCCTCATTATAGGGAAGCAATAACTAGATCCGTAAACACTGGGGTGTAGAAATTAAAAAACCTCCCCACCTCAAACACCATAGGGGGCATTTTTAAGTGGGACAGAAGTACAGCACACAACGAATCATTATTCTGTGCATTTTTTAAATGTTAAGTCTTTTTTTATGTTGTTTGATGTGCCAATTTATGCCGATCGTACTGATTGTTTTCATGGGGTTTGAGCGAGGGTTTTTTTTTTCCTTCTATTTTTAAATGTTAAGTCTATAGTATTTTTTTTACATTCTTTCTTTTAATGTTGTTTGATGGGCCAGTTTATGTCGATCTCACTGATTGTTTTTATGGGATTTGAACGAGTTTTTTTTTCTTCTATTTCTTTAATGATTTTTTTTTGTCTCGGGGAGTGGGGTGGGGGGGTGAAGGTCACAATTTCTATTCTTTTTTCATAATATTAATACGTCGCGTGATAAAAACGTGTTTGGGTGGTAGTGACATTATAGGGACTTTGCACGTCAACTGGGATATGATCTGGCAAAGGTAACACCCAGTACAAAGACAATCTCTCTGGAACTAAGGGTAGAAGATGCTGTGATATGCAGGCTTCTTGGAGCATACACAATAATTGTGACACAACGTGGTGGAATCAGGCGCAATTTTTGGACATGTGGAGTTATTAGTGTCATGTTAAAGCTAGTTCATTTGTCTCACTTTGGGAGAAAAAAAACATACTCATATACATATATCATGAACAGAAGTCAAGATACTTGTGGTTGAAGGACGTGGGGGTCGTCTGGATTCAGAGGTAAAATTAGCAAGAAAATGGCCGCCAAAGTCCGCAACGTCCAAAGTTTGAGAGTCTTTAGAAACTACAAATGTATATTGCTCTGCCTTAAATCAACATTTTTATGTAAAATCCACACAGAAATGTTTTTAAAATGAACATTAAAGGTGTTGGGTGTAAAAAAACAACAACCAAAATTCGATAAAAATTACCAAACGGACAGAAAAATACCAGTTTCTTCGATTTCATTATTTTGACGAGCGCCTGATTTCACCCCGATGCCCCATAATTATGTATTTAAACACAATGTAGAAGCACAAAGAGTGTGTGTCCAGGAGTCAGTGTGAG